TTTATTGGGGAATTGGAGGAGGGGAACAGCATTGGGGAATCAGGGAAGGGGAACAGTCAAGTTGCTGTCCTTTTGTTCTTCAGTCTAGTTGTGGAGGATGTCGCTTCACTGGCCCATGTTGGTATTATCATCACGCTCTTCCTGTGTGAGGCATCACTCGCCGGCCATTGGAAGGCGGCTCCCGGCGGCTCCACGGCAGCTCATGAAAGCTCACGCCAGCTGCCGGCCAGCCCCACTGCAGCCTACACTGTCACCAGTGACTCATGGCAGCCCAGCTCCAGGTCGAGCTGTTGTTCACCATCTTAGTTGTAGGGCGCAGCATCACTGGCCCTCATGTGGGATCCAAACTGGGGCCCTGCTGCTCAGAGCTGGCATCCCAAGCCAACTCTTAACCAACATGCCACTTGGCCGGCCCCCAAGTTAATTATTTCCAAGTCCTTTTCCTTCCTGTACCTCTAGAATGTGTCCATGGAGGTCACGCCAATAGTTTTAACCACAGAGTCTCTTTAGCTTTTCTTCTGGGGGAGGCTTGAAAAAGACAATATTCTCTCTGTTTTTACCTCTTGGGTTCTTTAAACTTCTGTCTGAGCTAGCACTAACTGGCTGGGGCTGGGGCACCTGCTCATTTCCTGAGGGAGGCCTGGGGATCGATTTACACACGACAGGCAGCACCCCTTTATCACAGCAGCGGGTTACTATCTCTCAGCGATCGCGCTGCACACACTGACGCGAGGGCAAAGGGCACACAGGATTTAATCTCAGGTAGCACCAGCCCCAGAGCGGTTTGAGGCCCTTCCTGCAGCCGTCTTAGCGAGCTACCTGCTCTAGACGATACTCTATATGCTCTGCCAGCAGTGGGCCTTCTCAGGGCTGAACTCCAGCCTCATGGCATTTCGTCAAGGGCCAAACACAGTTCAGAAAACCAGTCCTCGGAAAGGCTGATAATCAGTGCTACCTGCATTGGACGGCCTGGGCCCTGGGGCTTCTGAAAGAGCCCTGACTTGGGACTCAGAGCGGGCAGGGTTCAATTCTTGGGTCTGTCACTTAATTGGCTGTGATACCCTGGCAAATGACTCGACCCCTCTGGCAAAAATATCACCTGCCTTCTGAAGTTCTGGTGAGGATAAATGTGGATGTATGTGAACCATCTGATACAAGGCTGGCAAACAGGTGCTCAGCACAAGTGGTCGTATAGGACTGTTCCAGTTCATTGTTGTTATTGTTACTGTTCACACGAGCAAAAAGCAAACACTGATCTCAGTGAAATCAACGTGAACAACTGTTACTGAGCCAGTTCTGGGAGTCCTGTGCAGGGCTTGGCCCATGAGAGGCCTAGACTAGAGGAAAAGGTGCCATTTCTGCCTCTGGAGCACCTCTGGTCAAGGTGACATTAACCTCAGGTGAAAGGATAGTCCCATACAAGCCCCTCACGTGGCAGCACGTGATCAGAGGCCAAAGGATGGACTGAGCATGACATCATCTCTGCATTGCCGCTCATGAGAACCTAATTAATGTTGGCTTCTTTCTGAATTTAAAGTGATGCCATGGGTCCAGGTAGGATCTACATCACCCCTGGTTCCGAGGCAAAAAGATGACCCTGCAGCCCTGCCCGTGTCCAGGATCGTCGGGCAGCTATTTGTGGCTATGACTTCTAAGTTTAATTACTGTTTTCCAGTAAAAGGTGGCACTAAAAGATCTTCCAGTAGCTTGTCTGTTTTATTCTATTTAAAAGGTGAGGGAGATACACTTTTCCCTCCATTCATATGACTGTCTCATTATCCAGAGATAAAAACAGGCTCTTGACTCTGCAAACCTTCTGTGATACAAAGATATTGTCGCTGTCTGAGAAATGTTCCCGGAAGTCCGAGGTGGGGGGAGCTATTTATTTTCAAAGGTTCACTTAGAATCTGCCCCTTTATCTTGAGATGTTTCTTGCCTTTAATTATTTAAAACAATAATCGCTACCCTTGCGTCCCACCCATAATGCGTCAGACGCTATGCCTCGCAGTGCATCATCTCCAGTCCATAAACATCCTCCCTTTTACTTATCGTCCCCATTTCCTAGATGACATTGGAGAAGCTGGGTTTCTTGTCCCTCTCATCTAAAGTCGCACAGCCAGAAAGTGACCGCCCGGAAGCTCAGTGGAAAACGTCTGTTCTTTCTACCTTGTCACATTGTCCAACGCCCAGTATTAATTCCAGCGGGGCTTGCATGGTACTATGTAAAACATACATAGAACTTTTGCGTCATTTTACCATCTCAGAAACATGAGACACATGCTACTTAGAAAAAAAAAATCTTATTACAAGGCTTTAATATTTTAGTGCCAGTTGTGTAAGCGGTAAGGAGTAACAACCTTTCCCTCAATAATTTGCAGGTACACATCTCAGATAAAAGCTGGCTTTCCATGTTACGCATTGTTGGCCGTAAAGTTATGTTACATTGTCATACTCTAAACCATTCTATCACATCCAATAGCAGCAGAAATAAAGAAACAGGTAATGTGGAGAAGCACTATATCTCTGTCACATTAAGGTCCGGCTCTCAGCCCCCTGTCAGATGCGCAGCCTTATGCACCACTCCTGTCTGACTGGCTCCAGCTTTGCTCCTCTTCTAAGAGTCCTAGTTGTCCTCTGATCACCTGGGTCAGTCAGGAGCTCCAAGTCTGGCTTGTCCCTGGGCTGGACCTGCCACTTGAGCTCCAGCTCTGAAATTCATCTCTTCACAAAAAACTACAAGAACTGTCCCTCTCCATCAGTGAACCTGTCTCAATTGACGCTCACACGCTATCATTCGTATACTTGACAGTGAAAGAATTCTACAACAGCCCTTGACCGATAAAAAAATGCTGCCGTTCACTATTGATTAAAGGAACTTCAGCAGAGCCTCTTGAATCTGGGGGGAAAAATAATGATCTCTTATGAGTCTTCGGTTGTGAAATAATGGTGCTTGAGATCAGAAAAAAACCACAGAAAATCACCCTAAGAAGCTCCATGTGACTATGTTAAATTTAGATGACAATGACATAGTTTAAAGCTAACAAACTGTTCACATCAATAAAATGTTACTGAGCGCCCTTCTGGGCCAGACCTCAGCCAGGGAATGCGACGAACACTGCAACCTTCCCAGCCTTAGGACACTCGGTCCAACAGAGGACAGGCTGGCCACAACTCACCAGATGACAGCAATTACACAGTCCCCACCCCACCCCAATCCCAAGCCTGGAGAAAAGCCGCCAAGAGATGTCATATGGGGACTAGACAAACCTAGATCAAAACCCAGGTGAAGAGGATAGAGCAGGATTTCAGGTGAGCCACTGGGTTTCAATTAATGAATAATGAATCAAGCAAAAGAGGAAAAATAAGAACAGTCATTTATCAAAAGAACAGCCTTGAAATCTCCAGGTGAGTAGTATTTACGAAGTGTGTTACTTTATCTTGAAATATAGTTGAATTTCATTTTGTCTAAGCATAGTTATCAAGCCAACAAAGATTTCCCATGGAGCACTGGGAGTCCTTGGAATCTTTGGAGTGTTTAATACCTGGCACACACATATGTACACACACTGCACACCCATACACACATACACACGCACTCACACACACGCACTCACATACCACCCACATGCATGCACACACACCACATATGCACTCACACACATGCATGCACACATGTACACACACACACACATATACACACACACACACACCTACCTTTGCAGAAGTAATTTTCTTTCTTTTAGAAATTAAAAGACCTAGGCATTAAAGATTTATTAATCCCTTTTTCCCCCCAGTTTTAAAGCAAACAAGAGATCCTGCAGTTGAGCAGAAAAGAAACTCCCAGTGATGGGGAAACAATTATGCTTAACATGGCCTTGGCTCTGAAGTCTGGTAGTGCCAGGAGCACGGAGGCAGGGACGGTACAGCCAGTGTCTGGGCCGGCTGGGATGAGACAGACAGAGGAAGAAGGCTACAGCTTTTTAATAATGCTCCTAGCAAGTCATGCGGGTTGCCAAGCCCTAACCATAAAAGGAAAGATTAAAATTATGGAGGTGGAGGAGGGGTGAGCAGACAACATAATGAGCATAAGGGGAGAACTTGAAAGAGATCTGAAGCTATAGTCTAAATCTTATTTTATAAGGAGACTATTACAATATTCACTCGTTACATTTGTTAGAGATGTAATGGCTAGATAGGATGTCATCAGTTCCTAAACTGACTTAACAAAAAAGTATCTAAAAAGGTAGCCTTAATCAATTTTTATTTGCTACATGGTATCAAAACCTTTCAGCAAAAAGAATAAAATAAAATCTACTTTTAATTGTTTCTGTTAATTTCCATTTGTATAAAAATTTTCTATTTTAAAGTATTAGACGGTTACACTACCCATAACACTGATTGGCTTGTATGGAGACTGATTGGTTTCATACGATAGTCCTTCAAATAAAAGCCTGTCCTTTGATAGTTGGGATGGAAAGTCAGAAAAGCACAGTTCAAATGGTTTAAAACCCACCAGTGGGACGAATGCCAGATAACTGGTTCTCCAAGATAAAACTTCCTGATACATACTGAAGCGAGTGGTCCGTCTTCAGGATAATACAGTAGACAGACATTAACACTGAAAATCCCCGGCTTCTCGATGTAGAGCTTACCTTTTAGGCTCCTATGAAAAAAGTGGAACCACAACATGCTAAGGTTAGAATCTAAAGGAAGGTCTGCGTTCTGACCCCCCACTACCCACATGCCTTTTTTGTGGTTACTGTTACCGTGAATCTTTTTCTCTGTCTCTCTTATCGACATTGTGTAGCTACCTTTCTAAAAGTGCCATCAACTTCTGCTTCCAGCCAAGTTGGAGGAACCGGCACTGGATTTGCTCTCCTGCCTGAAGCAGCTAAAAAAGGAAAGGACAAAATGCATTGCACGGCATGTTCAAGACACTGGCCACCAGACAAGGAGGGTCAGTGGCTGCTCAGAGGTGGAAAGCAGAAGGGGTGACCCTGCAGCTACCCCAGCAGGCAGCCTGGGGTTTCTAGGAGGTGATGTGGGGAGGGGCACGCCCTAAGTTAAGGAGACAGAGCTGGAAGTCTGGTAAGGCCTGGGTGACTTGAGTTCACAGGGCAGAGAACGGGAGGAGAGAACCACAGAGAGAGGAAACGGGGAGTCTGCAGAGAATACCCGCCAAGTCTTCAGCTGAGAGCTGACCAGCATTTCCATGTGAGCAGACCACATAATCCACAGGGCGTTGGGTACAGAACAGAGGGTTCCCCCCAGGCCAAAGGCTCCTCCCGTCCCCCTAACAAAGCTCAAAAGCAAGACTCGAAAGGATCAAACTGTTTCTAAGTAACGTAACCACATCCTAGAACAAAGCTCAGAAGTATTTATAGGAATGTAAAAATATCCAGCTCCCAACAAGGCAAAATTCACAATGTCTGGTATCCAATAAAAATGACCAGGCAGTCAAAGCAGGAAAATATGACCCATAAGCAGGAAAAGAACCAACCAAGCAAAACTAACCTAGAAATGACACTGATGATAGAATTAGTAGACAAGGAAAATTAAACAGTTATTGTAACCCTTCCTCTGACACAGTATATACATGAAAGAAGCCAGAGGGAAGGTTGACTATGTTAGATGGAGGCATGAAATGTGTGTGTGTGTGTGTGTGTGTGTGTGTGTGTGTGTGTGTGTATTTTAAAGTCAAACTTCTAGAAAACTACATGACACTGGATGAGATTAACTGAAAAGATTAGTGACCATGAAGAAACAGCAATACAGACAGAAAATGAAACACAGAGAGAAAACAGACTAGAGAGAGAAAGAGACAGGAGAGAGAATGAATGAATGAATATGAATGCGAATAGAGCACCAAAGAGTTTGTAAGACAACCTCAAGGGTCCTATTATCTATGTAACTCAGGTCCCTACAGGGAAGGAGAGAGGGGGAAACAAAAAAATCACTAGAAAAATAATGGGGGGCAGCCGGTTAGCTTAGTTTGTTAGAGCGCAGTGCTCACACCACCAAGGTTGCTGGTTCAATCCCCACATGGGCCGCTGAGCTGCGCCCTCCACAACTGGATTGAAACAACTACTCAACTTGGAGCTGAAGGGTCCTGGAAAAACACACTGTTCCCCAATAAAAAAATAATAATAATAACATTTTAAAAAATAAAAAATAATGGGTAAGAAATTTCCAAATTTGATGAAAATTATAAATCCACAGACCAAGAAGCTCAATGACTCCCAAACAAGAAACATGCAGAAAATTTCACCAAGGCAGGCAGAGCACAATTAAACTGCTTAAGACCAGTGATAAAGAGAAAATCTGGCAAACCAGGAATAAAGAACTTCAACTTGATAAAAAACATCCACAAAAAGCCTACGAACACCTCACTTAACAGTGAGTCACTATGTTTTCCCCAGAACATCGGGAACAAAGCACGTTCTCCTCTCATCACGTCATACTGAAGGTCCAGACAGTGCACGACAAGAAAAAGAAGCAAAAGTGTACAACCTGGGAAAGAAGAAACAAAACGGCGGATGATATAATTGCCTAAGTAGAAAACTCCAAAGAATTGACAAAAAAACACACAAAAAAACCAAACCTCCCAGAATAGGAGATTATAACAAGGTTGCACGGTACAAGCCTAATATACAAAAGGTGACTGCTTTCCTTTATACCACCCATGAAATATTGGAATTTGAAATAAAAAACACAACACCATTTATAAGAGCACCAAAAAAAATGAAACACTTAGGTATAAATCTAACAAAATCTAACTATAAGATTATGATGAAAGAAATCAACAAAATATATATAGGATCTATATGCAGAAAACTATAAAATTATGATGAAAGGAAAATTTAAAAACCTACAGAAATGGAGCGATATTCCATATTCGTGGATTGGGAGTCCCACTATTGTTATGATGTCAGTTCCTCCCAACTTGATCTGAAGAGTCAGCACATCCCAGCAAGCTATTTTGTGTAAGCTGATTCTAAAGCTTATGTGGGAAAGAAAAGACCCAGAATAGCCAACCAGTGAAGAAGGGTAACAGCACAGGAAAACTGATACTACCTGACTTTAAGACAATACAAAGCTACAGTAATCAAGACATTATGTTATTGGTGAAAGGATAGACATATAGACCAAAGGAAAGAATAGAGAGCCCCGGAACAGACCCCTTAAATATTGCCACGTAATCTTTGAAACAGGACCAAAGGCCATTCAACGGAGAAAGAACAGTCTTTTCTACAAATGGTGCTGCAACAATTGGATGTCCATAGCTAAAAAAATTTTTAAAAACAAACAATAAATCTAGACAAAGAGCTTACAACTTTCACAAAAATTAACTCAAATTGCATAGAATGGAATATTAGAAAGTATTCTGAACTGAATGAACATGAAAACACAGCATATCAAAATGTGTGGGATGCAGATAAAATGATTCTTAGAATCTTACAGCACTGAGCACCTACAGTAGAAAAGGAGAAGAAAAACGACCCCAGCTTCTAACCCTGAGAAGCCCAGTTAGCCGAAGAAAGGAAGTGATACACATTAGAGCAGAAATCACTGAAATAGGACAACAGGCTATAGAGAAAAACCAATGAAACCAAAAGCCAGCTCTTTAACAAAATCAGTAAAATTGACAAACCTGTAGCCAAATTAAGAGGTGACATCACTACAGACCTACAGATATTAAGAGGATAACAAGGGAATATTAAGAAAAACTTTATGCCAGTAAATTCAATAACTTAGATGAAATATACAAGTTCTTTGAAAAACAAAAACTACTAAAGCTCACGCAAGAAGAGAGAATCTAAATAGCTTTATTAAGGAAATTGAATTTATAGTTTTAAAAAGTTCCACAAAGTGGTCTGGCCAAGTGGCTCGGTTGGTCAAGAGTGCGAGCTCTGACCAACTGGGTTGCTGGTTCGATTCCCACATGGGCCAGAGCTGAGCTGACGCTGAGCTGCCAACAGGTGGCAGGATGGCTTAGCTGGTATAACACGATTGCCTGTTTGATGGTGGGCTACGCCCACCTGCAGCTGGGACTGAACTCAGCAACCTTGAGCTGAGCTGCCACCCGGATGGCTCAGTGGATAGAGCGTGCGCTCTTAACAGCAAGGTTGTCGGTTCAACTCCTGCATAAAAGAAAAAAAGTTCCACAAAGAAAACCACAGACCCAGAGGACTTCACTGGTGGGTTCTACCTAACGTTTCAGGAAAAAGAAATACTAATTCTACACAAATATCTTCCAGATAACTGAAGAGGGAGTCTTTTATCAACTCATCTATTAAGCCAGCATTACTCTAATGTCAAAGTCAGACAAATCTATTACAAAAAAAGTGTTAGGATGTGGAGCAAGTGGGTCTCTGATACACCACTGTGGGAATGTAAATGGTACAGACACTTTGGGAAATAGTTAACTTTATGCCCACTGTTGGATCCACCAGTTCTACTCCGAGGTGTTTACCCAAGAGGAATGAAACCACATATCCATGTAGAGACCTGGACACAAATGGTCAAAGGTCAAAGCAGCTTTACTTGTAATAGCCCAAAACTGGAAACCAAGTGTCCATCAACAAGGGAACACGTAAACAAACTGGTATGTCCACACAGTGGATAGACTGCTTAGTAATAAAAACATTTAACATCGATATGGACAATGACATGGATGAATCTCAGAATAATTATGCTGAGTGAAAGAAGCCAGAAAACAGAGTATGTGTTGTATGACTCCATTTATATAAAGTCACACAAGATGAAAACTATCTGTAATGACAGATCAGTGGTTGGAGGGGAGAAGGGGACAAGGGGTTACAAAGGGGCACAGAAGAACTTTAGGGGATGATGACTATGTTCATTATTATTATTATTTTTTTTAGCTGAGCCATCCTGCTACCTATTGGCAGCTTAGCAGCAGGTCAGCTCAGGCC